GCCCGCCCTGCATAGAACCTGTACCCTGGGCAAGGCGCTCAGTCTCATTTCAGTTTCTCAAGGCTTAGGGTCCCTCTTTTCCCGGCCCTTGAATTTTTGGATAGCAGATGCATATGAGTGTCATGTCCTTAGGAGATGGGTACATGGTAATTTGCAAATGTCAGTGCCTCAGGACCCCAGATTGGGCCTAGCTAACGTACTCTGATGAGCAGCACCTCACATGCCCTTGGGGACAGGTTTGTGCCTCGACATGAAGATGAACTTGAGTTAGAAGTGGACGACCCTCTGCTGGTGGAGCTTCAGGCTGAAGACTATTGGTACGAGGCCTATAACATGCGCACCGGAGCCCGTGGTGTCTTTCCTGCCTACTATGCCATTGAGGTCACCAAGGAACCTGAGCACATGGCAGGTAGTCCTCTTCCCCCAGGCTGGTCGTACCCACCCCTACCATCTTCCCACCAGTTCACTGCCAGTGAGCACACACCCCAGGTCTTAGCTAGCCAGGGAGAAGAGTAGAGGTAATTTCAGTTCCATTACACAGTCAGTGAGGCCTAGCCAAGTCAGGGCCTGTGGGGATGGTGGCATTTCTGCTGCCTGAGTCACTCCCTCTCCAGGCTGCAGTCTTCTTGGCTTAGCTCGGAGCCCCTTGCTGATGGCTCTCTTACTCCTCATTGTATGCTTGCTTTCCAGCCCTTGCCAAAAACAGCGACTGGATTGACCAGTTCCGGGTGAAGTTCCTGGGCTCAGTCCAGGTTCCTTATCACAAGGGCAATGATGTCCTCTGTGCTGCTATGCAAAAGGTACCAACATTTGAGTCCATGCTTCTTCCTGGGGGTGCCTATTCTCAGCCAGCCCACACTATTGGGGAAAAGGAATCTGGAGGCGGTGCTGTAACATAGTGAAACAGTTTCCAACATGACCCCATCCCCCCGTACAGATCGCCACCACCCGCCGGCTCACCGTGCACTTTAACCCACCCTCCAGCTGTGTCCTTGAGATCAGCGTAAGGGGTGTCAAGATCGGTGTCAAAGCTGATGACGCCCTGGAGGCCAAGGTGACTTACTTCAAGCCCCTGCCTTCTTGCCCCATGTGTGTCTCTGCCCCTTTTATTTCTTGCCTGGCGTGTGCCTCTCTTCTCCTTGTGTGCCCATCCCCCCCACACACTGCATATGTCCCTCCTGCCTGCTTCCCCTGCAAGCTGACCATCTTGCGTCTCCCTTCACTCCTGTAGGGAAATAAATGTAGCCACTTTTTCCAGCTAAAAAACATCTCTTTCTGTGGATACCATCCAAAGAACAACAAGTGAGTACAAGGGACAAACACGAAGAGTCTCATCGGTAGTCTTCAGACATGGTGGGTGGGTAGGGCTCAGAATCTTGTCTCACAGATGCCTGCCTTCCACAGGTACTTTGGGTTTATCACTAAGCACCCTGCTGACCACCGGTTTGCCTGCCATGTCTTTGTGTCTGAAGATTCCACCAAAGCCCTGGCAGAGTCTGTGGGGTACGTGTGTCTGTGTGTGTGTGTACATGTGCTGTCTTCACTCTCAGTGTCAGCATCACCCCTGCTCTTTAGTTCTGAAAACCCCAATTCTGGAGGAGGCTGGGAGGTCCCAAGAAGCCCAGGTTCTGGGCCACTTCCTTGTTGATTAGCCACTGGTCCCTTTCTCTTTGGGCATAACTGCCCAGAGGACAGCTAAGTTGTCCCAGAGACCCAAAGCCCTTCTTGAGGAACCTGGATTGAGGCTTCTAGTCCCTCCCGTGTCCCCCGTTTTCCAGGCGTGCGTTTCAGCAGTTCTACAAGCAGTTTGTGGAGTATACCTGTCCTACAGAAGATATCTACTTGGAGTAGCGCACCCCGTTCTCTGCAGCCCCTCAGCCCCAGGCCAGTGGGAGGACAGCTGGCTGCTGACAGGATGTGGTACTGCCACAGGAGAATGGGGGAGTGAGGGCTGTTGGGTCGGGGGGGGGCAGGGGTTTGGGGAGAGGCAGATGCAGTTTATTGTAATATATGGGGTTAGATTAATCTATGGAGGACAGTATAGGCTCTGGGGACTGGGGAAGGGTGGGGTGGGGCCTCCGGCCATAGAGGGATCCCCTAGGAACAGAGGCGCTGTCCCATCCCGGGCCTTGTTCCATGCTAGGGGCCCTGGCTTTCTGGCTCTTGGCTCTGCCTTGACAAAGCCCATGCCACCTGGAAGTGTCCACCTTCCCTTGTCCCCACCTCACCCAGAGCCCTGAGCTCAGGCTGAGCCCAAGCACCTCCGAAGGACTTTCCAGTAAGGAAATGGCAGCGTGTGACAGTGAAGACCCTGTTCTCATCTGTGGGGCCTCCGGGCAGCTCCAACCTCCAGCCTGCCCAGCACGCTGGTCCTGGCAAGCTTGTGTGTGCAAGGAAGGAGAGAGCCACAGCAAGCCCTGCTTGCCAGGAAACGGCCTCTCAGCTGGCCCCAGCCAACCGGTCACTGTCTTGTCACCTGGCTACTATTAAAGTGCCATTTCTTGTCTGGACCATAGTGGGTGTATTTATTCGGACCTCTGCTGGGCCGCCTTGCTGCACACAGGCTAGCGAGCCAAGCACTTGCTGCCCAGAATAGCTTTATGTGGGGTTCCCATCACAGGTTCACATCATAGTAATAGTCAGCCATGTTGGGCCCATCCCGCTTGCGCTGCTGGGCCTGGGAGAGAAGGGGTCGGGGCCCACTTGGCCACGGGTGCTTGGGTCTGAGCCCATAGTCTATGGAGAGAAGAGAATAAGGGTGGAAAGAAATACTGCTGACTTGGAATGGGGCTGTAGCCAGCTCTCCAGAGGCAGTCTGGGAGTAGACTTAGGGCTTGGCCCTAGGAGACCTCTAGGGGCACCTGCTGTGCGGGTTGGGGGAGGGGAGAGAAATACTACCCTACCATCCACCAGGCCTGAGAGAGGCTGCAACAGTTCCAGCGGGGCTGAAAATTCCTCAGGAACAGATCGCTGAGACCTATGGGAAATATTGCTGTGCTAAGCCCTTAACCCCAAAGGCCATTACCACTTCTTTGTGAGGGACAATCCAGGGTGAAGACTTCATGAACTAACCCTTCCCAGGATAATGGTCAGGCTCTTTCAGAGTCTTCTAGGCCCTGAGGCTCTAGCCTTACCTCTGGGGCTGAGGTCGAAGGAGTGCACCTGCCAGGATGAGGTAAAAAAGGAAGAGACTGAGCCCAGCCCTGGGGTACAGAACCCCAAGCATGGCAAGAACCATCTTCTACACAGTCCCTGCTGTGGTGTCTACCTGCCCCTCCCCCAGCTAGACAGAACCTGGTGCCAATTCTCAGGGCCACCTCACAAAGGACATTAATTCCAGAATTCAACATCAGAACCTCCCTTCTGCGTCCTGGAGAAGACTGTCCCACACACATCTCTGCCACGACATATCTCCCTTCAGTTCTAGGGACCTGGAATTCCATACTATCCAATTCCAAAGCCCTGTCCATCACTCTTAACTCCTGGATGCCACCATAACCCTCTATACCCACAATGAGTCCTCACAGTCTGCTGGGGTTATCTGTCTCCTGTCTCAGTGCCTTGGGTGAGCCTCTCCCAGGTCATGCCTGATATCAGAGCACCCACTCACTTTCGTCTCTGCCCACTGACCCATTCACCATGAAGTGCTGAAGATACATTCAACAACTCCTTTCCCCACTGCCCAAGACTATGACACCAGAGCTTCCCTGGGTCCTCGGGCCACCCACTCCCTATGCCCTTACACCACAGCTCCGGTGAGATCCACGATCCCCCAGTCATCATCTTTCCACAGCCTTCTCTGCCCAGGCTGCTGAAAGAACACTGAGGGCTATGGGCTAGAGTGGAACTTGGTGGCTGAGTGTCTACCCAGCTCCAAAATGACAAGACATGTTTTTTGTCTCACAGCCTGATGGGAAGCTTGCCTCTCCTTTGCTATCCCTGCAGGAGGCACCTGCCGCTGTGCTGCCCAACAGTTTGCTTCCGTCTCCACAACCCCAGCAGGGTATACACACGGATTTCCTCGGTAGTCAGGACTTGCAGTGCTGGAACTATGCACTACATGGCACCAAAGCCCACTACAGTGCAAGCAGCCAGAGGACGCTTGTCGGGCTAAGCAGAGGGTCACAGGCTCTAGAGCCAACAAACCAACAGGCTGTCCTTTCTACTGCCTTGGCTCCCAGCAGGGGTCTGTGGGTCCCAGAATCATGTGACAAGCATGTCAGATTGAGGCTGGGACTATGAGGGCATCTTGGAGGAGGGGAGACCTGAGGGACAGGTGCAGACAGTGTTCTCCTGTCAAGTGGCACCACTGCTGGAAACAGTCCACACAACAAAAGGACAGGAACGAGGGAGGTGTGACAGCTTAGCCCTGTGGTCCCACAATGAGACTGTCACTGAGTTTGAGGACCATGAGTCTCTTGTCTAAAAGGGAAGGGCAGAGGAAGAGAGGACAAGTACTGAGGACAGAAGAGTTCAGGCCTACAGAGTCCTGCCAGGCCCTCCTCTGTCTTTTCCAAGTAGCCTGCATGGCTCCAGCAATCTGAGTCTTCCTGAGCCGGTCAGCCTGGAGAGTGTTAGGGAGGGAACTCCAGCACACACACACAGAAACTGCCCATTTTCTTACAGACTCAGGGTCATACTCTAGCTCCTCATATAGAGAAGAGATTCTCCTAGGGCTTGCTGTCCAGCTCTGCAGGGGAAAGGATAAACTGAGGCCTTGGCTACAAGGAATGTTAGACTGTGGTACTCCAGGGCCTAGTTCAGCTTGTCTTCACCAGGAGCCAGTGAGAGAGAAACATCTAGTCATACAGCTGAGACAAAGGGTGACCCATGCTGGAGAAGGTTCAGTCACAGCTGCTCCCTGGACCTGATGGAGATGACCTGCCCAGTGACAAGGAGAAGACTGCAGTGGCTTCGTCCCGGGAGGGTGAGGAGGAACAGCTGTGGTGACTAGGGCTGAAGACCAGAGCTGCCAGAAGTGTCACTGATGGACACAGAGCCACATGCTAGACACGACCAGAGTCAGTTTTATTTAGAGAAGGGGCCTGGGGAGCTGAGAGAGGCCCTGCCCAGAGCAACAAATCACACCACATGGCCCACTCTGCACCAGCTCCTGCGTGTCTGTTAGCCCCAACTGTAGAAATATATTTTCTGCCAGGAGGGCAGGTAGTCCATGAGCGGTCCTGAAATGGAGGGAGGGAGGAGTTAGACGAGCCAGGCCCTGGCCCTGCCCTGTGCCCTTTTCTGACACTGCCACAGCAGAGCAGCTCACAACCACACCTCCTGCTGCATCTCCTGCCTCCACTGCTATGCTGGAGACTACACTACAGACAAGGACCCCTGGCTTCCAGGGAGTCAAGGAGCATGATCAGCATGTCTTCCCTATGGTCAGGTACCCACATGGGCCCCAAGGTCCCTCCTTGACTTACCAAATATTCAGGTCCCAAAGGCAGGAGAAGGCTTGCCAACGTGATGTGGCCTAATAATCTTACACAGACACTGTTCTAGCCACATCCCCACCTCCATGGATCACCTTAGGCCCTGGAACTGTCACTTCCCAATACTGATTTACGGTTTACTCCTGATAGCCCAATAATCAAACCAAAAAAGAACAGAGAAAACTTTACAATGGGGCCCTTTGTGTCTCAGGGATATTCCTCGACCACATTGGTTGTCCTACCCACACTTACTTGCCACCAGGCCAACACCAGGGATGTGGTCTGCAAGCAGCTGGAGCAGGAAGAGGATCTTGGCTCTGATTGGAGAAAAGAAACAGCATGCTGAGGGGCAGGGTGGCTCCCTGCTCACCAGGAGCTAAAGGTGTTTACTGACCACCAGGCATTTCAGAAAACAAGGGACTAAGATCAACCCCAATATAAGGCTAGACCACCGCACTCCACCTGTCCACAGTGCACCCAATGTTCACAGCTCTGCCAGCTTCCCAGCTGGTTGGCATCACTTACACCACTCTCTACTCCCTCCCCTCTTCTCTAGCTCCCTACCGTTGGAATTCAACAACAGAGCTTCCTAAGGGTCACTTCACAGCACGGTCTGCGCTCTGGAAGTTTCTGGAGGGAAGGAAGCTGGTGGAAGAGCTGAGCTACACAGAAACCTCACAAGCCAATGCTCAGAGTAGTCGGGGATCTGGGAAGGGGACAGTGCTAATGAGGCAGTGTCCCCTCTGCCTCAGAGAGAAGCTTGTTTAAGATATGGGACTTCCCACAGGGGAACTTGGGATGGGACACTGAAAGAACATGTGTGTGTTGAGATGTGGTTCAGTGGGAGCACACCTGCGTAGTGTGAGGCCTTAGGTTTGGTCCCCGGCAGTCCTGGGGAAAGACCTGACATTCATCATGCCATTATATACCAAACTCAGGCAAACACAGTGTCCTCGCCCTACACGGCCTATCAGACGGGCGCCATCACTGTCCATCTTTCCAGGTGAGGACACGGGCCCAGCTCGGCTCAGACACTCGACCACACGTCATAGTGCCCTGGCAGGCCTTTCTGAGAGAGTTCTCTGGCTAATGCAGGGCTCTAATCCTCATAGGTGGTCAATGTGGGATGAGCCCAGCAGTAACAGCCTCACTGGGGCCTGTTTAGTTGCCCAGCCCCACTGAAGCACAGCAACTGCTCTGAGAAGTGGAAAGAACTGGAGAGGGTGGTCTGCACCAGCTGTGCCTTGGGGACCTTGTACCCTACAGTCAGTCTCTCGACACCAAGTGTGCAAGCTCACACTGGCCTGTGTCCTTTGAGGGCAGGCCAGGTGGCTCTGGAGGCTGCTTCCTGGACAGCACTGGAACCAGCAGGTATTCAGCAGACCCCAACCCTCTCCATGCAGCATGGAATAACCTTGGTGATGTTAGGAAGGTAGTCCTTACTCAGAGAATCGGTCATAGAACGGTGAGCGTAACAGGTAGTACAGCAGCAGGATTGTGCGGCGCCTCAGTTCCAGCCGCTCCCTCCGGGTCAAGTTCTTCCTGTCACTCAGGAGACTCAGGCTGTAGGGGAAGGGACATAGGGACAAGGATGACCTATGACCCTGAGAAGAAAAAAGCCACAGACTGCGGTAGCCACACAGCAAGCAGAAAGCCCCATGGAACTCCATGTCCTCACCCATTCTCACCTAGTCATATCCACCACACCCGACAGCAGCCAGGGTGTCCACGATCGCTGACCCCATAAGCCCAGGCTGAGTACTGACGGTCAAGATGTCAAGGATGTCTCCAGTGCAGGGTCCAGTTCAGGTCCTCCCCAGCCCGCCTCCAGCACAGCTAAGGATACAGTGCAGCAGGGGCCGGGCAATATACAAAGACTCTGCGATGGTCTCCTGCAGCCCCAGAGGTGTTGGGGGTGTGCTCAGTTCTTCCTGCTGCTGTTTCTGCCGAATTTCCCGTTGCTGGGGTGCTCCCCAGTGCCGTGAGTGCAGGGATGGGCCTAGAACATAAAGACAAGGTAAGCAAGCCAGGAGCCAAAATGGGTGCTGACAGAAGCCAGTCCCTCGGGCTCACACTGACCTCAGCACCTAGGTGCCCAGTCCAGCTACATCTTCCACTTACTGTTCTGGAGGGTTCGCACCACTCTGTTTGACCGTTTCCCCACGTATGACGGCTCCTGGCTGCCCAGACTGCGGTCGCCATCTAGCAGGTACAGACAGGACATAGCATAAGAGGGACACATTCCTAGCAGAGTCTGCAGAGAACATGTGTGTAGTGAATGCTTGAGGAGCCACCAGGAGAACACAAGAGCCTGTCCTCAGGCAGCAGCTGAACTAAGAGAATCACACCCAGACACTGTGGTTTGGCAAGAAATCTTTCCACAGAGGGAAGCACTCTGGAACCTACCCCAGCCCAGGAGGAGGCCATCATCACTCACCGTCAGTAAACCAAGAGCCTAGGCTTCCAAGACACTGGAGGAAGGACAGGGGGGCCCGTCCCACCAATATCTATCGGGGCTACAGGACCGTCTCTCAATCTTTTGCAGTCAAGTTCATGTGGGAAGTATAACACTGTCCCCGTTCAAGGTAAGAGAAAAGACCTGAGGCTGACAGAGGGGCCCAAAGCAGCCAGGCACCCTGCCTCTTGAGGCTTTGGTTCATGATACAGAACCAGGCCCAAGACAATTTTGGCAGGAGACCTACCTTGTGCTGATGCTCTGTTCCTAGTTCCTGTAGCCCACAACAGAAAAGGAGGACTCTTGCACAAGTCCCAAGTTCAGGGATGGGAGGGTAGCTCAGTGGTAGAGCACTTGCCTCACATGTACAAGACTCTGGGTTTGATCGCCAGGTTCTCAAACGTAAATAAACTCCCAAGTTTAAGTTCTATTGTCTCCAAACCTTGTCTTTTCCTTTCTTATAGAATCAATGAGCACTGAGCTGATAGGAAATGTGCTCCAGAAGCACAGAGTAGCCCCACATCCCACTCCACTCCTGGTAGAGAAGCAGCTTACCCAAGGGCTGTGCCTGGGTCTCCCTGTCCAGTGGAACAATGGGGGGTGATGTCTGAATGCCAGCCTTGAACCAGATCAGCAGGAACATGCGCAGGACGGCCCTAAGACAGGGTTATGACAGGTAGGGGAAAGTGGCTAAAAAGAAGGTAGCAAGGCTGCTCTGCTGAGCACCCTCATTGCTGGACTGGGTCACCCCACCTGAGTCCTGCCCTCCACAACCCAACCTACTTGGCCAACTGGATGAGAGCAATGACGAGCCAGCGGCCTACTTCGCCCCACACCTTGGCAGCCCCCATCTCCATGAACACCTCCACACACTCCAGTACACTCAGCCATGTCAGCAACTTCTGCTGGGACAGCGACTGCAAGAAGCCCAGAGGTCAGGGAGCTTCTCTCACTCCAAGTGCTGTCCTAGAGAGAGTGGGCTGCTCCAGCAGGTGGGGACTTCCCTCTTTCCAAGCCTAACACCCGACTTCAATACCAATTCCATTGCTACCGGGCTGGCTGGCCTGGGACAGGCCTTTCTGTGTCTCTAAAACTTCATGCATGAGACAACTAAAAATTGGTCTGAGGCTCACACTCTGAGACTACAACATGTACCACACGTGCTGGTCATTACTGTTTTCTTCCCAACTCCCTGGGTCCCCACCCTTGGCTCCTGGCAAAATTCTCACCACAGGCAACTTTTTTCGAAGCTCCTTCCGAAGGATCCCGTCATTGAGAAGGACAAGCAGGTTAGAGGCGGAGTACACTGAGAAGCAGAGCGTGGTCTTGAGAGGTTGGCTCTGATGTGGCCTTCACCCTTCTCTCTCACCTTTACCCCAGAACTCTACTGATTACAGCGACCCACAGACTGTGTGGAAACCAACGAGCCTCTCCTCCCATTTCCTCAGAGCCCCATTCTCTCCAGGATGACATCTGAGCCAATAAGAAGTTAGCTCATTCGAGTGACAAGCCAGCCCTTGCACTGCTGGGCAGCAGTGGTTACTGAGCTGATCACAACTGCCTTCATGTTCCAAACAGCCAAGTGTGTGGCCCCACCACTTCATCTTTGCTCTCTACAGATGGTCCCCCTGAAGGGCTACATCACACCTAGCTTTCAAAATCTACCTCATCCTTTTAAGATCTTCACTACCCCCACTAAGCAAACACCTCTGAGGCATTTACAAGCATAGAGGCTGTGGCATTTGAATATTGGTCCTGACATCAAAGACTTTTCAGAACTTTTATCTCCTCAGCTAGACAGAACAACAGTGCCCTTCTCATACGCATAGGACTGATGAACTAACAAAGTCAGGAAAGTTGCTTAATTCTGAGCAAAACCAGGAGTGAATAGCTAGTCAAAGTCCTCACGGGTCTCCCAACTCTGGGAACATCAAATGTCCTGGACAATGGACAGCTGATCTAGGGGGAAGCTCAGGACCTACAGTCGGGGCTCCTACGGAAGCCTTCTCCCTCCCTAGCCCAGAGTTAAACTCACCCAACTCAGACAGCTCGTGTGAATCGGAGAAGCGACCTAGGAAAGAAGGCATAGAAGGCGTTGGTGAGCGTTTCTTTTCCCCGCAGCTTTGGGTTCCCTAGTTTCCTATACGCCACAGGACAGAACTCGAGCACCGCGACCACTACCATGGGTCAGCAGGGAAAGGGCCATAGGGTTCATGGGTCACGGTCCCCAAGAAATGGGTCAAAGGTTAGTGTAGCACCTGCCAGCAGGTAACTGAGGCCCCGCACAGCCGTCTCCAGCTGGGCCGTGGCGGCTGGATGACGAGTCACGTACTCCTGGTAGCGGAGGCCCAGGAGCCGCAGCTTCTCCATCCTGTTCTGGCCACCGACAGTCCCACCGGCCGATTGCAAGGCTGGCAGCGGCGCCCTGCGTCCTGAGCCCTCCTTCCTGCTTCCGGCCCTAAGCCCGCCTCCCAGTTGCTCAACTTCCGCAGCCTAGGACGACTTAGACGCGCGGAGCCCCTGAACGCCCCTTCACCCCATCTCTAGCGCCTCCTCCCCGAGATCATGAGCTCCCACCCTCCCTCCTTCCAGCCATTGGCTCCTTCACTCTCCGCCCTGAAGCTTCCTAGAGCCTCCGGCACCCGACCTTCCGCCTTCTTGGTTGGCTGTCTTAGCGCCTGCGCAGTTACAGCTTGACGGCAGGTTGAACAGTTCATACTAGAGAAGGGAGGACGAAGCCTCAGACTTTCTCAGCAGATCGCCGAAAGCTCGAACGGGAGGGTCCGGAAGCAAAGAGCTTGGGATTTAAGGCACAGAGAACCTTGAAATTGTCGTGAAAGGGTTTCAGCAGCCGCCATTCTCCAGTTTTTCACAAAAAACAGTGCCGGGGAAACTGAGGTAAACCTAGCCAGCAGATTTAGGACAGTGGCTTCGGCTCCAGTTCCTTCAGAACATGTGGGCCCCCAAAATCCGTACCCGATTGATTACCTACGCAGAGAATACCCTGGCCTATCCTTCTGCTCCCCGTTTAGGGATGACCCTGCTCTTTAGCTTCTCTGATCTACACCTCGGGTTTTCTCATCTACAAAATTATTTGGGCCCTACTTGGACCTTGAACTCGGAACGAATCCCAGCGTTTTCTGGCCCTTAGATGCACCTCCAGGCTCTTAAGCTGGGCCCCAAGAGTTGGTGGTAACTCCTAAGGACTCATTCCTGAACCGAGCTGAAAAGCCGCTAGAGTCAAGGTGCTGTAGGAGTGGAGGGAGGGAACCGCTCCTGGGAGGCTGTTGATTGGCTGTGGGAAGAGGGGGCTTGGCAAGTCTGCGCCATTGCGGACTCCGCCCGCGAATTTATGATGTACAAAGAATAGTAACACATTTATTTAATACCTTACTAGATATTATCTTCAGACAAGGACAGAATATGCTCAATTATGTCCATACAGTATATTAAATGCATATACGAAAACGTTATGACGAAGCCCATTATTTTGGTTTACTTGTTTTGAGACAGGATCTTACTGTGTACCCCTGGCTGGCTTCAAATGCATTGAGATCTGCCTATGTCGGCCTCCCAAGTGCCAGAATTAAAGGCATGTGCCAGCACAAAAGGCGAAGGACATTGTTTTGTACAATTAATATACACTAATAAAAATTCTCAGAAGGCTGCTGGAGAGATGGATCAGGGGTTAAGAAATGCTCATTCAGGAATCGTTTTAAAAACTGGGCATGATGCTGGAGAGATGGCTTGGAGTAAAAGAGGACTTGTTCTTGCACAGAACCCACATGGTGACTCACAACCATTCATAATTCCGGTTTTAGGGCATTTAATGCCTTCTTATGATCTCTGCAGGCACACATCTGAATATACATATAGACATGCAGGCCAATTCATATGCAAACAGTGAAATAAATTTTACAATCAAAAGCTGGACATAGTGCCACATCACTGAAAGTAATTCCAGCACTCGAGAGGCAGAGTCAAGAGGATGGCTGCAAGTTCAAAGGCAGCCTCTTCCATGTGGGGAGTTCCAGGTTAGCCTGGGCTAGAGTAAAACTTTGATTTTAAAAATAAAATTTAAGTTAATTTTTAAAGTGCCTTCTGTATCTGGTCATAAATGGAATGCTGCTTTCCTCTGAGCCAGAGCCCGGGCGTTTTAAGAAGCACACTAACCAGGAAGTCACAACACACCTCCCCTTCCTTCCTTCCCTTTCTTTGATCAGTGAGGAGCCACACTCCCATTGTTGCCAACCACATTCATGCCAGTGTCAGGAAAGATTCAAGGGAAGGTTTCGTGAGTCTCAGAAGAGTCTGTGGTATGGGAACCCAGGACATCACTTTTTTTCACCCTGTCCTGTGGCCTCCACAAGCTCCTCACCCTGCTGGCAATCGCGATGGTTCAGTCTTTGTCGGCTTGGTGGGTTTAGAATCACTATAGAAACATACCTCCCAGTGTATGGAAATATATCCATGGGTGTGTTTCTAGAAACACTGAATCCAGAGGCCTCAGTCTGGATGTTTGCATCCTTATCCCTTGGATTATAGTCCTGAGCTGAAGAAGAAAGCAAGCTGAGCACCTGCGTTGTCTCTGTTTCCTGTCTGTGGATACAATGTGGCCAGCTGCCGCTGGCTTCTGAAACCACCGCTTTCCCCACTATGATGCATTGTACCCTTCAACTGTGAACCAAAATAAATACCTACTAAAGCTCACTCTGCCAGGTGTTTCTTTTGTCACAGCCATGAGAAAAATAAGTCATATATCATCCTTGTCTGATTGGTGGGAACTCTTCCACAGATGAAGCCCAAGAAGGCCCAACTTCTTATCTAAGGTAGCACAGCAAGGCCCTGACCAAAAGGTTTATGGCAGTGTCATCCCAGAAGGAGCCAAGACATGATGAGGCAAGCTTGCCTTAGGAACTGGCCTCAGGAAGTCAATGAGTTTACTACCTTTTGGGCCAACCCTCCAGCCCTCTGCTGCAGCTGAAGTGAAGGTGTATGTGTTTGTACTTGTGTGTACATGCGGGCAAGTACTTAGGTGCAAACTTTCATCAGATGGTCTTTTGTTCTGGGGAGGAAAGAGAGGCCCGGAGGACAGAGTGGTTCACCACCTCCCCCTCCACACTCCCACTTCACCCCAACAGTGAAGGGCTCTTCTCTCCAGGAGAGGGGACTTGGTCCAGCCAGGCTGGCAGCAACAGAGAACTTTTTTCTCTAGATCCGAAGGCCGATTAGACTCCAGAGACAAAGAGCAGAGGTGTGTGCAGGCTTGGCAGGCTGGAAGAATGCCTCTCCCTTTTGGATTCCTGCCTGGACCTGGCGGCAAGGCTGGGCTGCAAAGGCCTCTGGATAAATTGTGCTAGATACTTACACTTTCCGTGTGTCCCAAACCACGGGGAGAAGAAAGACCAGTTGGACAGGCACAGTTGAGGACAGCAGAAGCCTAGAGAGGATGCAGGACAGGTCCAAGGTCACAAAGTAAAGTCCTGGGCAGAGCTGGCTCAAAAGGGGGGTGGGGAGTGTCTCAGCTCCTAAGAACTAGGCTGGCTTAGGTTTTCCATTAAAAACCTCCCAAAGGGCTTCTTGAGGGTCCAGCAGCTATTTTTGCTCTTCCTTTCACTATCCCACCGACAGTGCTAAAGTTTCCACAGGATCATCATGAGGGGGGACACCAGTGAGATCTACAGAGGCAGTATCTCCACTAGCTCACCTCTCTTTACGGAAGACTTAGCTTGGTTTAGGCTCTGCCTGCGACCCTGCCTGCTGCTCCTTCACATTTTGTCTCCCACGACCATCTCTCTGGGTTGAGGGCCACCCCTGGCCCAGATCCCAGCTGCACAGCAGGCTGAAAATGACTGGGGCTCAAAGCCCTGCACACCAGGGTTTTTCTCTTAATTCCTAAAAGTACAAGAGGCAGCTTTCAGTTTCCATAGCAACTTCTAAAGTCCTACAAGCTGATTTCCCCCCCTCAACCTCCATCTCCCAGAGAAAGGCATTCAGATCACTCAAGGGAGGAGCTAGCCCCAGGCTACTGCCTCACTTTATACTGGACCTTGGGCTAAAAGGCCCAACTTGAGCCGCTGGTGAGGCCCTTACCTTAGAGGGCAGGCCCAAGCTTCCCTCCAGTTTCCACAGCACACTGAACACCTGGAATGTGTGTGGAGGTGGGGGTGGGGGCTACCCCCAGAACAAACAAGCGACTTCAGCGTTCCTTGAAGACCTGGGAAAATAAGTAAGAGACGTAGAGAAAACTACATTCCAGGAAGAAGGAAGGGCAGGGGCAGGTCCTGAGGTAGAAGACCCTTAGGGCAGCCACAGCGGGGAGTTTGCAGGAGCAGTAGAGGGCTGCCTGCCATAACAAGTAGCCAAAGGCTGTAGGTAGGTTCCTTTCACTCTTTAGGGACAAACTCAACTCGTGTCCTCCGGGTGATGTGAGGATTACCTGAGCAAAGACTTGGCAAACAAGTGCTCAGGGCCTGGCAATCAGTGTGCGATCAACCGACCATGGCTGGTCTCCTCCACAGCCCAGAGTTCCCTGCACCCCTTCAGGGCAAAAGGCGTGAGGGAGGCCCGCTGAGGGGTGGAGAGGGAGGAAGAAATCGGCCCTTGGAGTCCCGCACAATCACAGCTTTCCAGACAAGGGTGGGGGATGCATGGCCCTGCCCCGGCGGCAATGAGGCTCTTTGCCAGCTCTCCTGCAGGAGGGGAAGTGGCCTTCAAAAGGGCGCAGTGCCCGCATCTTTCAGTCCGCTTCTGGATAGGGCTAAGGGCCAGGGAGGACGTTCAGGCTACAGGTGTCCCCAGCAGGCCCAGCCTCTTATCGTCGAATTGAGCAGGTGTCCCTAACCCCTGGACCAGACATTCCTATCCCATCCCCACTACTCTCAGCCTCCCAGACTTCCGCGGCATGTTCGCCAATTCTTTGATTCTGTGCTCCGGGTCATCGGTCCCTCCCCTTAGGGGAAGGAATGAGGTCCCAGAGCCAGGAGGGTACAGGTAGCGGGCACAAGGCCACCCTGGGTAGCTGTCCCCATGGCCTTCGGCCCTCTCAGTGCCTCAGTGTAAAACTACCCTAAAAAGGGGTTGAAGGTTCCTAGACAGTGCGGTGCAGGGGCGGGGCCCTGTCGGGGGTCTCCCCGCCCCTTCCAGCTCAGCCAAGCAAAGGTGAAACCTGAGCCCAGGTTGGGGGCGGGGCTAGCTCCCGATCCTGTCTGGGTCCTCGCTGCCGGGCGGTCGAAGAGGAACTGGGCCTTCCCCGCGCCACCGGAGCAGGTGAGACAGGAGAGCTGTGCACCGCAGGGCGAGCAGCGGTCGGGCCCCGCGGTCCATCGCTGATCTTCCTCTGGTCCTTGGTCTGCAGGGTCGGTGATGGAGCCCGCAGCCCGGGGTCGCACCCCGCCCTGAGTCCCACAGACAGCCATGCTGCCCCGAGGGCGCCCCCGGGCAATGGGGGTCGCTGTGCTGCTGCTGCTGCTGCTGCTGCTGCTAGTGATTGGCTTCTTCTTGTTCGGCCGGGACCCGGAGTGTGAGCGCCCGAACTGGGCAGAAAAAGAGGGGATCCTGTGTGACCACTGCCTGTTCACGCCACGTGTCTTTTCAGATGGACTAGGCACAACTGCCACCCTCGATGGAGACCTGTACGGGGGCCGCAACCGCTCCGCCTCCAGCCCGCAGCTTCTACTTCCACCCAAGTGCGAG